TTGGGAGTTGTAGTTGCTGGGATTTATAGTTCACCTACAGTCAAAGAGCATTCTGAACCCCACTAATGATAGAATTGGGTCAGACATCCTACATGGAACCCCAATGATCAACAGAAAATACTGTGTTTTCTGATGGTCTTTGGTGACCCCTTTGACACCCCTTCGTGACCCCTCCAGAGGTCCTGACCCCCAGGTTGAGAAACGCTGTCATAGAGAGTGTTTCAGGCAATTTATGTGTGGAGGGAGAAGAGGTTGGGCTCTCCCAAGTTTCCTTTGAAACGCAAATGCTAGTAGGGATCATACAGTTCATTGTTTCTTCTGTGAGAAGTTAGTGCAGCAGGGAGAAAGTGAATATTAGAAGGCATTGACATTTGGATTAAAAAAGAAGTGTTCCCCCTCCCACTGAACAAATGTGCTATTTCAATTTGTGTCATCATTGCTTAAAATAACCCATCTGCAAGTACACTGCCTTTTCTCTTCTGCAAATGCAATACCCTGAGACGCCTATTTATTTTTTTACGACATTTATATGCCACCCTTCTCACCCAAAAGGGGACTCAGAGCAGCTTACAAGGTATATAACATACAATATATTATATTATTAGCATAGTACAATATTGGTTTTAAATATTGCTGTATTGTACTGTACCAATTATATTGTAATACTATTAGTAAGATTACATGTAATATAAATATATAATTATAATATATTATTATTATTATTACTACTACTAGTAGTATTATAATGCGTTACATTATAATATTATTAATATTATATGTATCTACAATATATTATATTATATTATATTATATTATTAGAATAACACAGGAGAACTGCGTACAAGTGGGGAAGTAATACTACTACTTTGGTTAGACCACACCTGGAATATTGTGTCCAATTCTGGGCACCACAATTCAAGAGAGATATTGACAAGCTGGAATATGTCCAGAGGAGGGCGACTAAAATGATCAAGGGTCTGGAGAACAAGCCCTATGAGGAGCGGCTTAAGGAGCTGGACATGTTTAGCCTGAAGAAGAGAAGGCTGAGAGGAGATATGATAGCCATGTATAAATATGTGAGAGGATCCATGGGGAGGAGGGAGCAAGCTTGTTTTCTGCTTCCTTGGAGACTAGGACGCAGAACAATGGCTTCAAACTACAAGAGAGGTGATTGCCCCAGAGCATTAGGAAGAACTTCCTGACTGTGAGAGCCGTTCAGCAGTGGAACTCTCTGCCTCGGAGTGTGGTGGAGGCTCCTCCTTTGGAAGCTTTTAAACAGAGGCTGGATGGCCATCTGTCAGGGGTGATTTGAATGCAATATTCCTGTTTCTTGGCAGAATGGGGTTGGACTGGATGGCCCATGAGGTCTCTTCCAACTCTTTGATTCTATGATTCTATTCTATAATTCGAAGTGCAGTATCAAATCCCTGAATATCCGGTTTAAGAGTAGAGTTACTTTGCCACAGTCCTTTGAAATAATAATAAGAAAAAGTTTGAATTGGAAGAATTGCACAGTATCATTCCTGCAGGGACAATGCATCTGTATAACAGCTAACTTCAGTGGACAGCATTATATTGCTGTGATGCATTCTCCTCTCCAAGTTGACCCTGCAATTCCAGTATTTTATGTTAGTCATGGGAGTTCTGTGCGCCAAGTTTGGTTCAATTTCAACATTGGTGGAGTCCAGAATGCTCTTTGATTGTTGGTGAACTATAAATCCCAGCAACTACAACTCCCAAATGACAAAATCATTTTTTTTTGAGTGAAGGACATACATTGGGTTGTTAGGTCTTGTGTCCAAATTTGGTGTCAATTCGTCCAGTGGTTTTTGAGTTCTGTTAATCCCACAAACGAACATTACATTTTTATTTATATACTAGCCATCCCCTGCCATGCGTTGCTGTGGCCCACTCTGGTGATCTGGAAAATAAAGTAATGAGAAAGTGTTGGTTTCCAATATATGTAATTTCTTTCTGCTTGTGGGTAAACAGTATTTCTTGCTGTTTCTTTGTCAGTGTTGATGTGGAGACTATCTGGTTTGCCTACACTGTAACATGCAGCATACAATTGTCCTTCTTTTGGGGTGCCTTTCAAATCTATACTATATCTCTGTGTGTGTGGATCATACATATCTATGGCTGGATGTCTCTTTGTCAGGAGAGCTTTGATTACGTTTTCTTGCCTTGGTGAAAGGAGTTGGACTGGGTGGCCTTTCGTATTTTCTGTTGGTAATGGGGGTTCTGTGTGGGAAGTTTGCCCCAATTCTTTCATTTGTGAGGTTTGGCCCAATTCTCTGGTTAGTGAGGTTCAGAATGCTCTTTCATTGTAGGTGAACTATAAATCCCAGCAACTACAACTCCCAAATGTCAAGGTCTATTCTCCCTAAACTCCATCTGTGTTCATATGTGGGCATATTGAGTGCTTGTGCCAAGTTTGGTCCAGATCCATCATTGTTAAGAGTCCACAGTGCTCTCTGGATGGCGGTGAACTAAAACATGGTGTCACTTAATAGCAATTCTCAATTTTTTAAAAAGAATTACAACGAATTAACAAAAGTATACATGGTGTAGTTTAGGGGGGGTTGTGAGGGGGTGTCAAAGAGGTTGCCAAAGGCCATGAGAAAACAGTATTTTCTGTTTATTGTCGAAGGCTTTCATGGCCAGAATCACTGGGTTGTTCTGCGTTTTTTCCGGGCTATATGGCCATGTTCTAGAGGTATTCTCGCCTGACGTTTCTCCTGCATCTATGGCAAGCATCACCTCACTACCTCTGAAGATGCTTGTCATAGATGCAGGCGAAACGTCAGGAGAGAATGCCTCTAGAACATGGCCATGTAGCCCGCAAAAAACCTACAACAACCCAGTATTTTCTGTTGGTCATGGGGGAAGTTTGGTCCAATTCTATCGTTCAGAATGCTTGTTGATTGTATAAATCCAAGTAACTACAACTCCCAAATGTCAAGGTCTGTTTTTTCCAAACTCCACCAGTGTTCACATTTGGGCATATTAAGTATTGGTGCCATGTTTAGTCCAGAACCATCATTGTTTAAGTCCACAGTTCTCTCTGGATGTTGGTGAACTACTACTCCCAAACTCAAGGTCAGTGCCCACCAAACCCTTCCAGTATTTTCTCTTGGTCATGGGAGCCCTGTGTGCCAAGTTTGGTTCAATTCCATCATTGGTGGAGTTCAGAATGCTCTTTGATTTTAGGTAAACTATAAATCTCAGCAACTACAACTCCCAAATGACAAAATCAATTTTTTTGAGTGTAGGACATACATTGGGTTGTTAGGTGTCTTGTGTCCAAATTTGGTGTCGATTCGTCCAGTGGTTTTTGAGTTCTGTTAATCCCACAAACGAACATTATATTTTTATTTATATAGATTGCTCATTGCCAACAAAAGCGGGGGGGGGGGGGGATCTGATTTGTAAGATTGATATGTATAGTACTGACTTAACTAACATTTCTGCTGTTCCATTTCTTCTTTGTCTATAGGGACCTACTTCTATACCATGGTGCAGCATTTGGTTGATCTGGGCTATCAGCGGGATGAAGATATTAGAGGGGCTCCATACGATTGGCGGAAGGCACCAAGTAAATAAAACTTCTTTATGGGGATTAGGGTCTTATCACAGGATGAATTGAAGATCTAGTTTAAAAGGCCTGACTTGAACTGGCTTGTTCAAACCTACTTAACAACCAATCGTGCTGCGTCCCATCTAGACTTAGAAGTTTGATTCCTTTGGTTTGAAATGTAGATTTTATATTTTTAAAAATGCTTCAACTCCTTGTGAATTGTGTTATCGAAGGCTTTCATGGCCAGAATCACTGGGGTGCTGTGAGTTTTTCAGGCTGTATGGCTATGTACCAGAAGCATTCTCTCCTGACATTTTGCCCACATCTATGGCAGGCATCCTCAGAGGTTGTGAGGTCTGAAATGAGTGGGGTTTATATATCTGCAGAATGATGTCCAGGGTGGGAGAAAGAACTCTTGTCTGTTGGAAGCAGGTGTGAATGTTGCAGTTGGCCACCTTGATTAGCACTGATTATCACTAAATAGCTTTGCAGCTTCAAAGCCTGGCTGCTTCCTGCCTGGGGAAATCCTTTGTTTTAAACTGGGCAAGTGAGGTTTATATATCTGCAGAATGATGTCCAGGGTGGGAGAAAGAACTCTTGTCTGTTGGAGGCAGGTGTGAATGTTGCAGTTGGCCACCTTGATTAGCACAGAATGGCCTTGCAGCTTCAAAGCCTGGCTGCTTCCTGCCTAGGACAATACTCAGAACACAGGGCAATTCCAGACAAGAAACAATCAGGGCCAGCTAACACCTCCTAACAAAGGATTCCCCCAGACAGGAAGCAGCCAGGCATTGAAGCTGCAAGGCCATTCAGTGCTAATCAAGGTGGCCAGTTGCAACATTCACACTTGCCTTCAACAGACAAAAGTTCTTTCTCCCACCCTGGACACCATTCCACAGATATATAAACCTCACTTGCCCAGTTTCCAACAAAGGATTCCCCCAGGCAGGAAGCAGCCAAGCTTTGAAGCTGCAAGGCTAATCAGTGATAATCAAGGTGGCCAATGGCAACATTCACTCTTGCCTCCTACAGACAAGAGTTCTTTCTCCCACCCTGGACATTATTCCACAGATACATAAACCTCTCTTGCCCAGTTTCCAACAAAGGATTCCCCCAGGTAGGAAGCAGCCAGGCTTTGAAGCTGCAAAGCTATTCAGTGATAATCAAGGTGGCCAGTTGCAACATTCACTCTTGCCTCCTACAGACAAGAGTTCTTTCTCCCACCCTGGACATCAGTCCACAGATATATAAACCTCACTTGCCCAGTTTCCAACAAAGGATTCCCCCAGGCAGGAAGCAGTCAGGCTTTGAAGCTGCAAAGCTATTCAGTGATAATCAAGGCGGCCAGTTGCAACATTCAATCTTTCCTCCAACAGACAAGAGTTCTTTCTCCCACCCTGGATATCAGTCCACAGATATGTAAACCTCACTTGCCCAGTTTCCAACAAAGGATTCCCCCAGGTAGGAAGCAGGCAGGCTTTGAAGCTGCAAGGCTATTCAGTGATAATCAAGGTGGACAGTTGCAACATTCACTCTTGCCTCCAACAGATAAGAGTTCTTTCTCCCACGCTGTACATTATTCCACAGATATATAAACCTCACTTGCCCAGTTTCCAACAAAGGATTCCCCCAGGCAGGAAGCAGCCAGGCTTTGAAGCTGCAAGGCTAATCAGTGATAATCAAGGTGGCCAGTTGCAACATTCACTCTTGCCTCCAACAGACAAGAATTCTTTCTCCCACCCTGGAAATTATTCCACAGATATAGAAACCCCACTTGCCTAGTTTCCCACAGACCTCACAACCTCTGAGGATGCCTGCCATAGATGTGGGTGAAATGACAGGAGAGAATGCTTCTGGAACATGGCCATACTACCTGAAAAACTCACAGCAATCCTCGTGAGTTAACTGTATGTCTTTGAGACGATTTTTTCGGGACTCTCTGTATGTAAACATATGTTCTGTTACTAGTTATGGTCCTTTTTTTTGCAAAGCAGGGCCTTTTCTAGTGCAATACTCACTGTTATCTGCAGAGAAGTTCACTTAAATAAGCAGAAGCCTTCCAAGTGAACGAGAATGGAGTTGATTGCACAATTATTATTTTTTTGTAGATAGACTTCTGTGATCAGTAGGCTGTGCTCTTCAATTTGAGATCAGCGCAATAGAGGAGATATGCATGTTGACATATGCAAATGCACTTGAGCCAAAGTTTCCAAAAGTGTTTTTAATGCTTCGGTATTGTGTGCTTTTTGCCGTGATTTTAAGGGTTGTGAACCGCTGCGAGAGCTTACTTCTTGGCTCAAAAACGGAGTAATAGAAGTCTTAAAATAGTATGATCCCGCTGTCTGAATGGATTATCATCATGCTTCCCTTTTTTCCATACAGCACTACCTCCTTTTTAGTTTTTGATAGGAGAAATCAGAAAGCATGCTTCTCGTTCAGTCTGCCCTCTCTTCGAAATAGGTTTGAGCTTTGAAATAATTCTAGGGAGCCTCTCACTCTTTCAAGCTTCCTGCCCTCAATTGCCATAGCTGAAACCAAGTTCGGAACATGGCATTCTCGAAAAGATCTTTACAAACACTCCAGCTGGCTTCAGCCTCTGATGCAATGGAGTGTCACCTGATCATTCCACGGTTACAGGCCTGCTGACATTTATGCTTCATTGAGCCAAGATGTTGCAACAAGCCCGGTTTCTACCATAGCCCTGTGTCTGAATGTTGGGAAAGGGATGGCTTTTGAATACAGTAACTTGATTTAAACCACTGAACTGCTGAACATGCTGACCGAAAGGTTGGCATTTTGAATCTGAGGAGTGGGGTGAGCTCCAGCTGTTAGCCCCAGCTTCTGCTAAATTAGCAGTTCGAAAAAATGCAAATGTGAGTAGATCAATAGGTACTGCTCTTGCAGGAAGATAACAGCGCTCCCTGCAGTCATGCCGGCCCAGCTTCTGCCAACCTAGCAGTTGGATAACATGCAAATATTTATTTATTTATTTATTTATTTATTTATTTGCTGCATTTGTTGACCGCCGCTCTCAGCCCTAGGGCGACTCGCAGCGGTGTACAACATATAAAAACAGTTTACAATAAGGCACAACAAGAAATCAACATACCAATAATACACATTAATCTAAATTACACTAGCTAATCCGCATCGTCACAACATAGAATCATAACCAATCTCGTAATCCGTATACCGTTCCAGTTGTCCTGAATATGGGTAGATCAATAGGTACCGCTCTTGTAGGAAGGTAACTGCGCTCTATGCAGCCATGCCAGCCCAGCTTCTGCCAACCTAGCAGTTCAAAAACATGCAAATGTGAGTAGATCAATAGGTACCACTCTTGCAGGAAGGTAACGACGTTCTATGAAGTCATCCCGGCCCAGCTTCTGCCAACCTAGCAGTTGGAAAACATGCAAATGTGAGTAGAACAATAGGTACCGCTCTTGCAGGAAGGTAACAGTGTTCTATGCAGTCATGCCGGCCCACCTTCAGTTCAAAAACATGCAAATATGAGTAGATCAATTGGTACCGCTCCGGCGGGAAGGTAACGGTATTCCATGCAGCCATACCAGACCAGCTTCTGCCATCCTAGCAGTTGGATAACATGCAAATGTGAGTAGATCAATAGGTACCGCTCTTGCAGGAAGGCAACGGAGCTCTATGCAGCCATGATAGCCCAGCTTCTGCCAACTTAGCAGTTCAAAAACATGCAAATGTGAGTAGCTCAATAGGTACTGCTTAGGTGGGAAGGTAATGGCGCTCCCTGCAGCCATGGCGGCCCAGCTTCTGCCAACCTAGCAGTTTGAAAACATGCAAATTTGAGTAGATCAATAGATACCACTTTGGTGGGAAGGTAACTGCACTCCATACAGCCATGCCGGCCCAGTTTCTGCCAACCTAGCAGTTCAAAAACATGCAAATGTGAGCAGATCAATAGGTACCGATTTGGTGGGAAGGTAATGACACTCCATGCAGTCATACCAGCCCAACTTCTGCCAACCTAGCAGTTCGAAAACATGCAAATGTGAGTAGATCAATAGATACCGCTCTTGCAGGAAGGTAACAGCACTCTATGCAGCCATGGCAGCCCAGCTTCTGCCAACCTAGCAGTTCAAAAACATACAAATGTGAGTAGATCAATAGGTACCGCTCTTGCAGGAAGGTAACGGTGTTCTATGCAGTCATGCTGGCCCAGCTTCTGCCAACCTAGCAGTACTTATTGATCTACTCAAATTTGCATGTTTTCGAACTGCTAGGTTGGCAGAAGCTGGTCTGGCATGGCTGCATGGAATACCGTTACCTTTCCGCTGGAGCGGTACCTATTGATCTACTCACATTTGCATGTTTTTGAATTGAAGCTGGGCCGACATGACTGCATAGAACATTGTTACCTTCCTGCAAGAGCGGTACCTATTGATGTACTCACATTTGCATGTTTTCGAACTGTTTGGTTGGCAGAAGTTGGGGCTAACAGCAAAGCTCACCCCACTCCCTGGATTTGAACTGCCAACCTTTTGGTCAGCAAGTTCTGCAGCTCAGCAGTTTAACCCGCTGCGCTACCAGGGAGGCTTCCAAAAGTGGTAGAATGGATGATTTCCACGTTGGAATTTCAACACTGTGGGAGAAATAAAAGTTTCCACTTAAAACATGTTACCGTTTATATGTATGACTTGCATGTCCTTATGTGGCTGTTTATAACTCTGACAGGTTGGAGGTTCGAATCCGGGGAGAGCGCAAATGAGCTCCCTCTGTCAGCTTCAGCTCCCCATGCGGGGACATCAGAGAAGCCTCCTACAAGGATGGCGAAAACTTCAAAACATCCAGGTGTCCCCTGGGCAACGTCCTTGCATACGGCCAATTTTCTCACAACAGAAGCGACTTGTAGTTTCTCAAGTCGCTCCTGACATGGAAAAAAAAACCTTCACACTATTATTGCAAACTAGCAGTGATTCCATTAAGAAAAAAGAAACATTTGGGCATTTTGTGACTCTTAATTCTTTAATGGTAAACTAGAAATCGAGATGTGGAATGAAGTCATTTAGTTAATTGCTTAAATTGTTTTTTAATGCTTTCAGATGAGAACCAATACTACTTTGTGGCACTCCGCAAGCTGATTGAGAGCATGTATGAAGAGTATGCTGAACCAGTGGTCTTAATTGCCCACAGCATGGGGAATATGTACACCCTTTACTTCCTCAAGCACCAGCCTCAGGACTGGAAAGACAAATACATCCGGGACTTCGTGTCGTTGGGCGCTCCGTGGGGTGGAGTGGCCAAAACGCTCCGAGTGCTGGCGTCAGGTAGGTGTGTCTGGACGAACGGAGGGTAAACAGGTGTTCCTGTGATGCAACCTGGGCATATTTGTCAGCACCATGTGCGGCTCTGGTTACCAGGAAACACCCACGTTGGCAACTCAGCAAAATATACAAATTCAACAAGCAGCAATACTTTTAGTGGGCTAAAGCATAAAATACATTATGTAGACTTTCAAAATTTACCTGTCTTCTTCATTCAGCAAAGATGTTAAATAACACACAAGATTTTTTTTAAAAAAGGTGACACCTAAACCTTTTTCTAGATGTAATTATTTATTTAATTACTAGCCATCCCCTGCCATGCGTTGCCACAGCAACGCGTGGCAACTCTGGTGGCCCACTCTGGTGGTCATGGGGCTTCTGTGTGGGAGGTTTGGCCAATTCTATCGTTGGTGGGGTTCAGAATGCTTTGTGATTGTAGATGAACTACAAATCCCAGCAACTACAACACCCAAATGTCAAGATTCTATTTTCCCCAAACTCCACCAGTGTTCACATTTGGGTATTTTGAGTATTTGTGTAGAGTTTGGTCCAGATCCATCATTGTTTGAGTGCACAGTGCTCTCTGGATGTAGGTGAACTACAACTCCGAAACCAAAGGACACTGCCCACCAAACTCTTCCAGTATTTTCTGTTGGTGATGGGAGAGCTGTGTGCCAAGTTTGGTTCAATTCCATCGTTGGTGGGGGTTCAGAATGCTCTTTGATTGTAGGTGAACTATAAATCCCAGCAACTACAACTCCCAAATGACTAAATCCATTTTTTTTTAGTGAAGGACATACATTAGTTTGTTAGGTGTCTTGTGTCCAAATTTGGTGTCAATTCATCCAGTGGTTTTTGAGTTCTGTTAATCCCACAAACGAACATTACATTTTTATTTATATAGATTAATGACGTTTATATCCCACCCTTCTCAACCCAAAGAGGACTCAGAGTGGCTTACAAGTAATATGTAAATACAATATATTATATTATTAGCATAGTACAATATCAGTATTATATATGACTATATTGTACTAAACCATTGTATTGTAATATTATTAACAATATTACATGTATTATAAAATATAAAATTATATTTGTAATTATATAATAAAATAAAATGTAAATACAATATATTATATTATTACCATAGCACAATATTAGTATTATGTATTACTATATTGTATTATGCCATTACACTGCAATATTATTAATAATATTATATATGTATAATTATAATATTGTATTATTAGTATTTTATTGTATCACATTATAATATTATTAGAATCATAGAATCATTGAGTTGGAAGAGGCCTCGTGGGTCATCCAGTCCAACCCCATTCTGCCAAGAAGGAGGAATATTGCATTCAAATCACCCCCGACAGATGGCCAGCCAGCTCTGTTTAAAAGCTTCTAAAGAAGTAGCCTCCACCACACTCCAGGGCAGAGATGTAAATACAATATATTATATTATTACCATAGCACAATATTAGTATTATGTATTACTATATTGTACTATGCCATTATACTGTAATATTATTAATAATATTATATATATAATTATAATATTGTATTATTATTATTATATTGTATCACATTATAATATTATTAGAATTATAGAGTTGGAAGAGACCTTGTGGGCCATCCAGTCCAACCCCATTCTGCCAAGAAGGAGGAAAATTGCATTCAAAGCACCCCCGACAGATGGCCATCCAGCTCTGTTTAAAAGTTTACAAAGAAAGAGCCTCCATCACACTCCAGGGCAGAGAGTTCCACTGCTGAACAGCTCTCACAGGAAGTTTTTCCTGATGTTCAGATGGAATCTCGTTTCTTGTACTTTGAAGCCATTGTTCCATTGTGTCCTAGTCTCCAGGGAAGCAGAAAACAAGCTTGCTCCCTCCTCCCTATGACTTCCTCTCACATATTTATACATGGCTATCATGTCTAATCTTAGTCTTCTCTTCTGTAGGCTAAACAAGCCCAGCTCTTTAAACTGCTCCTCATAGGGCTTGTTCTCCAGACCCTTGATCATTTGAGTCGCCCTCCTCTGGACGCATTCCAGCTTGTTAATATCTCTCTACAATTAATAGATGGCATATGTTCTGTAACTAGAGCTGAATGGGGAAAACTGTTTATTATCTATTTACGACATTTATATGCTGCCCTTCTCACCCCGAAGGGAACACAGAGCGGCTTACAAGATATATTATACGATTAGCATAGTACAGGATCAGTATTATATATTACTATATTGTGCTATACCTTTATATTGTAATATTATTAGTATAATTATATATAATATAAAATATATAATTATAATATTGCGTTATTAGTAGTAGTATTATATTGTATTACATTATTATAATATAAATATTATATGTATGTACAATATTATATTATATTAGCCGTCCCCTGCCAGGCGTTGCTGTGGCCCAATCTGGTGATCTGAAAAATAAAGTAATGAGAAAGTGTTGGTTTCTAATATATGTAATTTCTTTCTGTTTGTGGGTAAGCAGTATTTCTTGTTGTTTCTTTGTCAATGTTGATGTGGAGAGTGTCTGGTTTGCCTACTCTGGAACATGCAACATATAATTGTCCTTCTTTAGGGGTCCCTTTCAAATCTATGATACTATCTCTCTCTGTGTGTGAATCATCTATATCTATATCTATGGCGGGATGGCTCTTCGTTAGGAGGGCTTTGATTATGTTTTCTTGTCCTGGTGAAGGGAGTTGGACTGAATGGCCTTAAGTATTTTCTGTTGGTCATGGGAGAACCGTGTGCCAGGTTTGGCTCAATTCCGTCATTGGTGGAGTTCAGAATGCTCTTTGATTGTAGCTGAACTATAAATCCCAGCAACTACAACTCCCAAATGACAAAATCATTTTTTTTTTTGAGTGAAAGACATACATTGGGTTGTTAGGAGTATGCTGTCCAAATTTGGTGTCAATTTGTCCAGTAGTTTTGAGTTATGTTAATCCCACAAACGAACATTACATTTTTATTTATATAGCCTAGCTGTACCCGCCACGCTTTGCTGTGGCCGACCTTCCCTCCCTCTTTATCCTCCTTCCCTCTTTTTCTTTCCTTTCTTCCTTCTCTACCGGTTTCTTTTCTCACTTCCATTGCTCTTTGGTGCCATCCTTCCTTGTCTCTTTCCTTCCTTCCCTCCTTTCCTCTCTTTATTCCTTCTCTCCTTCCTTCCCTCTTTCACTTTTTATTTCTTTCCTTCTCTACCTTTCTTGCTTTCCTTTTCTCCTTCCCTCCTTTCCCTCTTTCCCTCCTTCTCTGCTCCCTTCCTTCTCTACCTTTCTTTCCTTCCTTCTCTCCTTCCCTCTTTCTTTCTCTTCTCTCCCTCTTTCTCTCCCTCCTTCTCTCCTTCTTTCCTTCTCTACCCTTTCTGTCATTCCTTCTCTCCTTCCCTCCTTCTCTTTTTCTCCCTCCTTCTCTCCCTCATTCTCTCCCTCTTCTTCCTCTTCCCCCTTTCTGTGTTTTGTGTGTGTGTGTGCACATATATGTGTGTATATATATGTGTGTTTGCGTATATATGTGGTTTTGCGCATGCGTTGTAATGTAATTTTTGTTTTTTGGCTTTTTTAATACCTTCTGCTGTGTTTTTATGAGTGATGGTCACTCGTTGGCCTGAGAGGTGTCTTGTGTCCAAATTTGGTGTCAATTTGTCCAGTGGTTTTTGAGTTATGTTAATCCCACAAACAAACATTACATCTTTTTATTTAATATAATCTATATAATATAGATTATATTGTAAGTAAAGCACAGGAGACAAGGTGTAACTGTCTTCTGCCCCCCTCTCTTTTCACTTGTTTTTTTTTTTTAATTGGCTGGTCAAATATAACCCGAAACAAATCTTAACATTTGAAGCACAAAAATGTGTGTCGCCCAATGCATTGAACAGTTACTTTTAATATACTTCCAACAGGTGACAACAACCGGATCCCGGTCATCAGCAGCCTTAAGATCAGAGACCAGCAGCGTTCTGCCGTTTCGACCAACTGGTTGCTCCCTTACAACTACACATGGCCTGAAGACAAGATCCTTGTCAGCACGCCAACTGCTAACTATACGCTCCGAGATTACCACAAGTTCTATACCGACATTGGTTTTGAGGACGGCTGGCGCATGAGGGAAGAAACGGAGGCCTTGGTGTATGAGATGCCACCTCCGGGGGTGCGTATCCATTGCCTCTACGGCACTGGCGTGGACACCCCAGACTCCTTCTTCTACGACAGCTTCCCAGACAAGGAGCCTAAAATCTTCTACGGCGACGGGGATGGGACGGTGAACCTGCAGAGTGCCTTACAGTGCCACAGGTGGGTGGGTCGGCAGAAGCATGAAGTGAGGCTCCAGGAGCTGCCGGGAAGCGAGCACATCGAGATGCTCTACGATCCTCAGACCATTTCCTATGTGGAGAAGGTTCTCTTTGGCTCCTGATGCATTGCAGAACATTTCTTTGACACTTGACGGGGTCTCTTTAAGAGGAAAAGTCGATTATTTTGGACCCATATTGAAAAGCTGGCTTGTTGGGACTTGCTGGGAATCTGTGTTGATGTCAGTTAGGGATCACTCATCTCTGATTAGTGCTCATAACACTGTAGCGTCCTACATTGAAAAGGCTCAGCCCAGCTGCATTTAGGCACCTCTAGTGCAATACCCACTGTACATATAGTTGAATGTATCAGGGAGGACTTTCTGTACGTGCAGAGCGACAGAGACAATGTTAGGACAGCACAAGGCTCCTCGAATGGTCCTAAATGGTGGAAGCTGCCATTAAATGAGCACACACATGATTCAATATTACAGTGGTGCCATCCAGTCAGGTATTGCTCTTGGAGGAGATGAACATTTGTGTCCTGATAGGGTCTTTACACCACTAAGGTGTTTGTAAGGTGGAGGTAAAGAAGCAGAAGGCTCCAGACTTCCGTAAGTGCATCTCTGAAATTCTGATTTGTCTGTCTGTGGTCCTAAAGATTCATATTGTAAACGCTTTCTGGAAGGAAGTGGATTTTCAGTGTTGTTGAGGGACATTAGCTGCTGTTTGAATGCTTGTGTGACTGTTATTTATTGTTCCAAAAGGCCAAGGCTGCTCCAGGAATGTTCTGGGTGAGATGTGTCCTTCTTTCAATCTAGAGTGGCCACTTGACAGCATTTGCAAGCTGCCGGCTGCACTGCTTTTGTTACTGGAGTGAGTTTCCTGAATTCTTGGCTGTTACTTGGATACAGCGTCTTGAAGGGAGAGTCCATTTTTCTTACACTATGACCCCTCTTCTGTATTTTGCTGACTTTATTTCCTAGGAAGGGGAGCACATTTGGAGCTGCAATTGGAGGACATGCCCCTAGAGAACACATTAGAGCAGGCATGGGCAAACTTTGGCCCTCCAGGTGTTTTGGACTCCAACTCCCACCATTCCCAACAGCCTACCGGCTGTTAGGAATGGTGGGAGTTGGAGTCCAAAACACCTGGAGGGCCAAAGTTTGTCAAGTTTACACATCATGCTTGTAATGACCCACAGAAGGCCTTATGGCTGAGCGATGTGCCAAATGACCAGCAAAAAGAATGTCCAGCAGTTGCCTGGCACAAATAACCCCGATGCCTTGAATCCAGCATATTACTGAGTGTGGGTCGAAATCTAGCTAAGGCCTGTGTTTGAAACCCTGAAAGCACAAAATCCAGGAAAGTTATACGACAATGCCCCAGAGAGCTAAAAGTTCCGGGCGAACCAAACTCGGAAACAACAATATCCTGGAGAGCTAAAAGTTTTGAGCAAGCCGAAATCGAAAACAACAATGTCCTGGGGAGCTAAAAGTTCCGAGTGAGCTCAGCTCATAAACTACAATGTCTTGGAGAGCTAAAAGTTCCGAGTGAGCCGAAATAGAAAACGACGATGTCCCGGAGAGCTAAAAGTTCCGAGTGAGCCGAACTCAAAAACAACAATGTACCGGAGAGCTAAAAGTTTTGAGCAAGCTGAAATCAAAAACAACAATGTCCCGGAGAGCTAAAAATTCTGAGTGGGCCAAACTCGAAAACAACAATGTCCCGAGAGCTGAAAGTTCTAAGTGAGCCAAACTCGAAAACGACAATGTCCCGGAGAGCTAAAAGTTCTGAGTGAACCGAACTTGAAAACGACAATGTCCCTGAGAGCTAAAAGTTCCGAGTGAACCGAACTTGAAAACAACAATGTACCGGAGAGCTAAAAGTTCCGAGTGAACCGAACTTGAAAACAACAATGTCGCGGAGAGCTAAAAGATTCGAATGAGTCGAACTCGAAAACAACAATGTACCGGAGAGCTAAAAGTTCCGAGTGAGCCGAACTCGACAACGACAATGTCCCAGAGACCTAAACGTTTTGAGTGAGCCGAACTTGAAAACAACAATGTCCCGGAGAGCTACAAGTTTCAAGTGAGCCGATCTGACCCTGATCTCAAGTGAGCAAATGGGGGAGAGGGAGGGGATTTCTTGAACCAGACCTTTAGACAGATAATAAGATTAAGCAGATTCTTCAGTGATGGGTCATGGCGCAAAAGCCGATTCCTCTTGTTACCGCTCCTGTGCACCACTTCCTTTAATAAATGTCCAAATCGTAATGATGTTACATTGCAAAATTTTGTAGTACAGTCTCAATCCTCCCAAGAAATTATATTTTTTAATATAATTAGAGAAATGCATAACACTCACTTCCTTTTTTTCCAATAATACTGGAACCAACTGAAACATCGAACCACTTGATGGATTGTACGGCAACGACATTTTTGCCATATTTCCACCCGAC